TAGAGGCCGCTGAGGTACATCCGCGCACCAAGCAGCACACGCGGACACTGGTACAAATTGGTGATAATGGATTTGAAGCGTACCGCTCACTCTCTGCTTTGAGCGCCGGGTGGTGAATCTTGGAACAAGTTACCGGAGACAATAGTCGTGGCGAAATCGGTTTCTAAATGTAAAAGATTCATCGACGCCCACTTTGCGAATTACAGGTATAAGGCGCGTATCACACTCGGACAAGATGTAGTGCATTTGTGATATACTGCCACCGCGCAGGATCAGCAACGTGATTCCGCGCGGGTGCCTGACCTAACTACGATGAAACAACACAGATTTAAATCTTACTCTCTAATTTTACTATTCTGTATTCTCGTTAGACTGGAGCCTATTTCATCCTTAGAACGTTATCTGGCATGCTCTCGGTTATCCGGCCACTCACTGTTGTCGGCTTGTCAACAGCCACTCGATATGTTATTCTTCGATATTCGCTCTTATTAGGTGGTCTGAGTATGGTTTATGGCCACTTCCGTTTTCTTTTTTTTCTATTGCAGTTATATTGCGTCCCACTCCGTTATAGACCCAATTTCCAGGGGAGACTCATGTTCAGAATGCGGCAGTCATAGTGGAATCAGTCTAGTCTCTCTTGCCTCTAAGTTACTTGCCTCTGTCGTCCTCCATAGACTGACTGGTACGCGTGAAAGCCAAATGCGAGAGGCGCAGACCGGGTTTCGTCGAAATCGAGCCTGCATTGACCACATCCTCACTTCACGTCAGTCGTTGGAGCGCCGCCATATTTGTTGCCGACTCATCCTCGTGTTCCTAGGCATCGAAGGGGCTTTCGATTCTGTAGAACGGCGTGCCCTTTGGGATTGTCTACTTAGGCAAGGTGTGCCTGAGGAACGTAAATGTCTTAAGGGCGCTGTACGCGCATATTTCGGACAGCGTGGGGTTTACGGCAAACTTTCGTCGCCCTTCAATATCTCCGACGGTGTGAAACAAGGTTGCTCGCTGTCACCTTCCCTCTTAACTTCAACATTGACGAAGTTGTGGAGACCGCGTTCACTGGACACGATTTACAGGGTGTGGAGCTGGTCCCAGTTGATCGACTTATTGCCTTGGAGTATGCTAATGACATTGCCCTTATCTGTGACAGCTTTCAAACGTACCAAGCGGTACTACAACTTAGCATTGGTTGTCAGTCGTTTTGGGCTAGTTTTGCACCGTCAAAATGCAAAATTCTTCAGGATTTGATCCGTTCTTCGACCCGAACAGTTTCGTTGCAGACGTTTCATCACCAGCCGAAGTGATTTCGTCAGTGCGTTGTAGGCGAATTCAATTTTTTGTGGACTTTTGACCGATAAACGTGTGACGGTTGAAATTGGCCACTTTGAATCACATCCCGTGACCGTTATTAGTTGCTGCCTCTTGTAAGCTCACGTCGTGAATGACTTGCCTATATTCACTTTTTCGCAGTTGATGGTAAGCTGGATCTAAGTCAATGCGCGGCTTTATTAAATTCTCCGTAGCGAACCACGCTTCGAGGAATTCCCTTCCTTTTCTTATCTCTCTTTGGGCTGGCACCTCCGTTTTCTCCCAGTCAAACATGTGCCCTTCCTCCTCAACGTGTGTTGAGACCACTGCTGATGAGTAATGTGGTCTTGTAACCTTGTAGATAATTTTCTCCCCGTTTGGCCCACATAGTGCTTATCACAGTTTTTACACTGTATCCTGTGAACAACTTTCCGACATTCGTGTGCGCTCGTTTTCCCTTTCGGTCTAGATAGGGTTCATTTCAGAGTGGCGGTTGTTATGTGGGCTAACATTAGGTGGTGCGGCTTGAGAAGTCGGGTAGTCATTTCCGATACCTTCTTGATTTACGGCAAAGCGATCCGTTTGGTTGTTGTTGGTTCATGTATAGCATTTGTGGCCTCGCAGTTTGTGTCTTCGGATGAAACTGCGTGGATATCCGTTGCGCATGAAGAATGTAAACAGATGTTTTTCTTCTCGTATTGCTTCCGTGGTATTGCAATGTGATTCCATTTTTCGAAACAAGGTCCGTATGCAGCTGATTTTGTGACATTTTGGATGATTACTATTGGAATTTGGTCTGTGTGTGTGTCTTTCCTGTGAACTAATGCTTGTAGTTCTCCTTCCGCTTTTCTAGTGATCAGTGCCTCCCCGAAAGGTGCTTAGTTTTCCACTTCTGATTCCAAAGTGAAGTGAATGCCATCCGTTGCATTGTTCAGCAAGCCTTTTGCTGTCTGCAACTGACTGCGTTTGAGTCTCACGAACGTGTCGTCAACATATCTGACTCACAGTTTTGATCTCATAATTGGGAGCACATCTTCTAAAGTTTGCATGACAATCTTTGCAATGAGTCCAAATATAGGGGATCCCGTTGAGGCTCCTTTCACTTGTTCCTAAAATGCCCCATTGAAGTTAAAGTACATTGTGAGACACAAGTCGAGTAGTCAGTCGTCATATTCCAATTATTCCTACGCCAACATTCAGGCATCCTCTGATGTTTTCTTTCGCCTCTTGTAAGTTGACAGAAGTGAACAGTGCAGTGACGACATATATATATATATATATATATATATATATATATATATATATATTGCAACCGCCTACGAATAAACATAAGGCCATCAGAAACCATGAGAGTAAAAAGTAGTTACAGAAATCGTAAAAAAACACAACACAACCAATCGGAGTCCATGGTTTCGTCAGAGGACGAGATACTACCCGGTTGCCAAAGTCGAAGTAGGGTGTTGACTTAGGGGATACCACTCCTAGCCTTTGACTGAATAGCCTGCCCGCAAGACTGCGGAACGAATTCAGGGAATCGCTCCCATTGGGAGCCGGTGACCGATTACACAGTTCATACGCCGCCTTTCGTTTGTTCGTTTGGCAAACGGGGGCCCAATGCTCCCCAGAATTACAGCATAAAGTCGCTGGAATACAATGCTTCGCCAGGATGAAGCAAGGGGCAGGGATTTTATTTAGTGACGAGTCACATCCGCCACGTCACGTGTTGTTAAACGGACATATGTGACTTTTTATGGGGAGAACGCTTGCCAGGCGAAAACACACCACGTTTTGGAACACTGCTGCCGAACCATTTGCTGGAGTGGGAAAATCCCGAACCACCCTACTGGCACCACCACGAGTAGGTTGTTCAGGAGTCCTTTGAGTTTCTCTACAAACTGCTGAACGTTGTTTCTGGAGTACCACGATCCATTAGTAAGGTGTTTAAGGCCTCCATAATTCTTTAGCCAAGTTGTAGGTGGACGTACCAAGGAGTGACATGATTGGCCGAAGTGGTACATCAATTTTGTGCACCTTCGGAAGTCTGTAGAATCGAGCAACGTTTGAGTCGCGGGCTTTCATTCTCTCGTGCTCTTCCGTTGTCATTACTCTATCAAGATCTCACCGTGAACATCCACAGCGAGTCATTAACTCTTCCCCCTCGTTAAAAATAACTGATATGCTTCTATGCACCTAACATTGAATGTGCCCAGCAAAGTTTGAACTGCAAAGTGAATGACGGTAATTCAAACATTCATTCATTGCAGACTAGGACTTACAAATAATTGCTTTTATCTACACAAGTCTGGCTTTTTCTGACAGCTTTGATAAACCGAAGGAAGCGGACATTAATTTGAGCTAACACAAGTTTGAACCCTTAGGTGGGCTCTGTTCGGGTGACCTATGTTCATCATCATGGAGTGGTCCTTTGTTTTTCCAACCTAATGCACCGTGACGTTTTCCAACGATGAGAAGTATCGATAGCACAACTCTGTTTTTCTTTTCACTGTCAGTACTTTAGTGGCAGATAAGAATCCGGGATGACCTTCTAGGGGAACAAAACCAACCAAATGTCGCCGATATGCCGGTTGGTGATGCAGGCTTGCTGTCACGAACTCGTGGGTTGGGACACGGGTATACCATTGGCTCAAAGTGGAATGGGTAACCCTCAGCCACGTTCTTAGCGCAGAAAAATGCTGTGGGTTAGTTCAGTTTCCAAAGTCGAACGAGTTTTGAGGTTTTGCTCGCAAAACAACCAAAAACGAAGAGAAGTGCAGATCACGTGTCGCGTTGACAATGTATCGGTTATGCACCATAAACATTTATATGTCGATTATTGATGGGCTAACATAGCTAAATGTTGAACTTGCCATGACCACCTTTGGTGTTCAATTCTTCATTCTGTCTCATCGCAGGTATCCACCTTTTTCATGTGCTCCAACATCAAATTTGAATGTTGTCATCCGAGGTCTCTCACCAACTTCTAATCGCATATTGTTTTCTCTTTCTCTTGTTTCCTTTTGAGGAATTTCCAAGTTTTCAGCCTGTCAAAGTGATTATCTTCTACATTTTATGCCTGCTCGTGACACCTTCACTTTCACGTTATTATGTTTCATTGATGTTCTTGTTTTTCACGAACTCTAGCCTCTAGATGCCTTGCTTGTGTGCATGAGCTTGAATTTATTCATCTGCTTTCGAATCCAATTTGTTGCGGTGAAGTACGGAGATGTGTGTTGTGCGCCCTTGTGATAGATTCGATTATGCCACATTTATGGCAACCAAGACTGTGATAGAAAGAAAAAAGCATAAGGCAAGGAAGACCAATTAAAGAAGACTTATTAATCGTACTGCGATTGCCCGGTTAACGCAAGACACCACTTCATGTCACTTGGTTCACTGAACTTTAGTAAGCCAATTGCGAACCGCCACCACTCGTCGTAGTGTTATTATCTGTACTCCAGATTTGCAACTTTATATTTTCCCCAACTCCTTGCATTCGTTTTCTTTCTAAATTCACTTGATTTATGTTCGCCCGAATTGGCACCACACATGCCTTTTCCTGTTCAATTTTTTATGCTGTGTCATTGGAATATCTTTTTTATACCATGGCTGTCAGATTGTACCCTTGCCTTCCGCCGGCTTAGACTTGCTTCCTTTTCAGCTCACAATGTTCACGTGACTGAGGTTTCAAATCGATCATGTTACCAGGTGAATATTCCTTAGCAAAACGTTGTTTATCGTTCGCTATCACTGCTGAAGACAGAGGTGAGTTACAATAACACGTTTCTTTCCGTGCCTTAGGGAATTATACCGATGCTAAAAGACTCTACTCAGATGCGCTTTCACACCTGGAGAAAACCTTGAGGGTTTCTACTGATCCAAGTAGCATAGTTCTCTTCATTTTTTCATAACTAGACATCCTGAGTCGGTCACGAAACTTTCAAAAGTCGGCTCTCGAAAGGATAGCATTTATCGGTAAGTCAACACGAAACTTCAATCGTTGCTCCATTTTTACATTCTTTTGTTTAGTACCGTAGATGCGTTGCTGTTACATGCATCATTGGCCCACTCATGTTCTTTGTGCAGTCATAACGATCGCAAGTGGCGAAATGTCAAGGAAGTGTAACCTGGCTAGTGCCAGGAGAGTTGCTTGGGTACTTTGTAACTATGCACATAAACGGAACGGAATTGTTCAGAAGGCGTGTGTTGTTTTACCAAACAAAACCATGTTTTGTGTCAGAACAATTTGTGTCTACATTCCGAACACTACGTTTCTGTGCTGATACACTTGTTCCTGTCGACTGTTTCACATAAACCCCACACCACTCGTGCCTCCGGGGTCTTATTTAACCGAATGTGTATTCGACTGTAAAACGACTGGTTCTGGTGTGTTTCCTTCTGCTTTTCTCCATTTCTTGCATCAATGCACTTTGCGTTGTGATGTTCCCTTTCGGTATCAAGCAGGTGTTCAGTCTTATACTTTGAGACGTAACAGACCTTTGCCAAGGAGGTGGTATAGTGCTCCTCGGCAGCAGCAGCAGCAGCGAGTTAACCGTGCGAATTTTCCTTCCCACGAGAGTCTCTGCGAATGACATATTGTTTCCTGCCTTGACCAGTATCGTTGCCTCCATGTCTTTTTCCCGAGTAATTTCAGCTCTGTAGAACACTCCTCTCTCTGACAGTCGATCCCAATAATACCCATCTTGTTGAAATAGACAATGAATTTCGAAACCTCTAGGGCGAATATTCTCCCTTTGACAATCGTATCAGATATCCCCCGAATTGTTGCCTTTTACTGACTCATCATATGTACTTTTATTGGTAATCCTTCTGTGGAAGATGCCATGGCTTCATGCATGTCTTTGAGGGTTTCAATTTCCGATGCGATCATTCGCTCATCCCTCACGAGTAGTTTTAGCGAGGGATTTATTGCGTCATTGTGTCCAAACCGCTTGTACACTTTCTCCTCAAGGTTCAAGAGTGTATTTCGGACCATCTGGCGCATATCTGCATCATACATCCTTAGGACACCTTGGTGAACATCGTGGGGACACATTCCTCCAAAGATGATCGACCAGCAGCCAACCCCTGATGCATAGCTCTCTTTTATAACGTCTGAGTTCACAAAATCGAGCTAAATGCCACTGACCACAATGCCAACAAGCACTAGGCGGACAGCCGCGGCATGCGAAGTCGAAGAGACGTACCGAATTGTGCGATGGCCTGAGACGTGTAGGAATGAACATCAACCACACAAGACTTTTTGTGCCGTTGGATCAGTTCTGTCATACTTCAGTATCAACATACCTTCACATTCCTGTATTAGCTTCTGTAGTGAGACTTCTGGATTAAACTACAACCGAGATAACAAACGTGTTCGAATCTCCGGATCTTTTGGAGTACGTAATCCACAAACCAAATTGAGCTTTATAACTGATCACTTGTGAGTGTGCTAAGCGGAAAACGCTCACATTCCCTGTTAACAATGGCGGCATAAGTCACAAAATCATCCTCCTGGTGTTTAACAACTTGAAAACATCGGAAAAGTGTGTTTAAAAGTGAAGTTTTAGGGCTGAAAATTCTGGTCATGTGTTTCAAGTCTCGTCCAATGAGATATCACGTGGGTTCCTGGGTAGAATGTACCTAGAGTACTTCTCATACTCTTATGGAACCAATTTCCTCAAAAGAAGACGTACCTAAACTGCATCGCCTAGCTCACGCCCATCAATTTTCAACAAGTCTTCATAGCGACGAAACCATGCTTCGAAAGTGAGGTCATCGTCCGGCTGGCAATGAAATTCTGCCATACTGTGCGCCAGCTTGTCTGCAGTGGAAACCATTGGATCCGTAGATGCTGACTGTAACGACATTCGTGTTGTCAATGTTTCAATTAAGCTTTGCTGTGACGCCTCAAACTGTGCTTGCTGTCTGGACAGCATTTCTTGAAGAAATTCCAAAGGGACCGTCATGGTTCCCCGTCGCCAGTCTATTATAACGTCTGACTGTAACTAAACCCACTCCGAACGGGAAGCAAAAACACCACCATACAGGACGGAAGATTATCCTGGATTCCTGGCCGTCTCGTTTAACGGATTTCAAGTGTTTTGTGCAGAATACCAGTAGATTCCATCATATGGACTGGACATGTAAACCATATTAGACCCCCTTTTGAAGTGCAAGGGACGTCCCAACAACAGAAGCTTCACTACAGTTGGACATCTTGCTGGTTACGTATTAAATTACCCATTCTCAAGAGCCTGTCGTCCAAACAGAGGGCTTGACTACAGATCGAAGATACTCAACGCAAATCAGATCGTCATTGCAGAGACTGGAGGTGAACCCAAGGCGTAAAGCATACCAATCAATCGTAGCGTGCTGTTCTGTTCAGTTTAAAGGAGGGAGGTGTTAGACGGGCTTGCGCTTCACAGTCGCTCACAGCTAGATAGTTTGACATTCATGACTGTCACGTCACGTGATTGCGTTGTACACACGCACGGCAGTCTTTCAGAGTTAGACCGCTCACCATTCATGACTCTGTTCTCTCATATGGTTGGTCAACTGATCTGTTGATCTTTTGCATCACGCTTGCTCAGCTTGGTCAGTTTTTTCAATACAGCTCGTACCGCACAGTTGTGTTTTTGCTTTTCATTCGTTCGTTCAGTTACAGACAGACGTTATAAGAATCTCTCTCTTGAATCTCGGTCCTGCCATCACCAGACATCTTGGTGTCTTACAGTCGTTGATATCCTGTCTGACTTCGACCCCTTGACCGTTTGATGCTTTCGATTCTTTCCAGTCCCTCGGGAGAGTCAATGTCATCCACACTGATTGTCTTCCCCTCGTGATAATGGAATCGAATCCCAAAGTTTCGGCAGTGTTCGAATCACAGAGTATTCGCATACCTTTGAAGTGTCAGTTTTGAACAAGTGGTCGAAGCATGTATGGTTAGCTCTTCCAGTTCCGATCGGTACCTTTTTTATTCCGTTCATCTTCCACGTTTTCGGAACAAGCATGTCTACGTTAGACAGATTCCGCTTGCACAAATGATATGTTCCCGGATCCCTCAGGCTCTCCACAACATAACCATCCATGGACAAACGACACGCAGCAGACGGAATTGCCAAGAGGCTCTCTCTGACTACGAGCTTCTGCAATAACGACTTGCAGCGTTATTTGCGTGTCACGCTCCAGCATTCCAACTATTTTGGTTCGGATTTCAGCATCAATTGGTGACTGAAGGCTGCAGACCAGCATCAAGCACTCAAACTGGGCACATAAACCCGAACAGAATTGTTCAGAAAGCGTTTGTTGTTTTACCAAACAAAACCGTGTTTTGTGTCGGAACAATTCGTGCTTACATTCCGAACACTGTGTTTTTCTGCTGCTACACTTGTTCCTGTCGACTGTTTCACATAAACCCCACACCACTCGTGACTCCGGGGTCCTATTTAACCGAATGTCTATTCGACTGTAAAACGACTGGTTCTGGTGTGTTTCCTTCTGCTTTTCTCCAGTTCTTGCATCAATGCACTTTGCGTTGTGATGTTCACTTTCTGTGTTCTCAAGGCGGAATCAAGCAGGTGTTCAGTCTTATACTGTGGGACGTAACATTTTTGTTATTTTACTCATTTAAAACTTAGGTTTTATTTTCTTGCGCGTTATCGTGACGCTACTTTATTTTATCTGTCACGTTTACTCATCAACCGGAATGGAATCATAAATATGCTGCTGGGCTGACAATTGCATGTATGTTCTATTTTGCGCCTAACGTTTGTGTCTTTGATTGCTCTTCTCTTTCACTGCATTTGCAGCGGTGGTGTACATGTTGAACTTATATCCCCATCGGGTACATTAGGCCTCCGTTGACTTAACTCGAGTTTTATCAACCATCACATTAGAGTGACATACAGTTCTGTATGACACCCCGATTGGGAGTTCACGGCCACCCGTTTCCCAAGTTTTAATTCCCCAAACTAATTGCATAAAAGAAAGAAGTAAGGCATCAGCAGTACACCGGTGCACAATACTGACGTTTCGCTACCGCGCAGCCACCACCAGTCGCACATGCGCTAAGTATACTGCGCGGTCGCCCTGTCCCCACGCAGACTCGAACTCGCATCTTCGGATCACAAGACAGGCTTGTGATTCTTATGGGTACGGACCGGCAAAGTACCATGCCCAGGCATCAAATCCCGGCCGTGTAGTTGGCCGTCCGATATGCGGATCATTACACTGCATGTGGAAACTAAATAACTAAGTGCAATCATTGTGCTTTTCCTTGCACAGGTGGAGTCGTAACGGGCTTGCGGTGCTGCACTCAATAGCTCGTGGTTTGTGAGAACTCCTTACTTTTGTGCTTGCTGTGCTTGCTTAAGATTCCATGTTACCCATTGCCATCATGCTACTGATTTTTCACATTGCATTCCTTTACTTGCAAAGCGGTTCTATAGTTCAACTTTGAATTTGGGGGACTTGCTGTGTGGTTGGGTTGCGACACGCAACCTCTATTGAGACCTATGTTCACTTTGAGGTAAAACTTGGTCATACCGATCGCAAGAACCGTATCCCAAATGGAAATATTTGGGTGTTGCTCCTCCCAACACTGGCACACCGCGACCGTGGTTTCGTCCTAGTTTAGAGTTATCATGTGGTGGTAACCTGAGCTGGGATGGAACTCAGAGCCTAGTAGTTCACGGCTGACGTCCAGAACACTACGCTACTGAGATCCGCGAGCAACGCTTGGCACGGCGGCAAGGAATTCGAAGTTGAATTTGGGGAACCTGCTGGGTCGGAATGACCGAGTTTTGCCTCAAAGTGAACCGAAGTCTCAATAGAGGTTGCGTTTCGCAACCCAACCACTCGGCGTTTATCCGGAATTCAACATTGAATTCTTTTCCGCCGTGCCAAGCTTTGCTCGCGGATCTCAGTAGCATAGTCTGGGCGTCAGCCGTATACCACTGGGCTCTGAGTTCCACCCCAGCTCAGGCTACCGCCACCTGATGAGTCCAAACCAGGACGAAACCGCGGTCGTGGTGTGCCAGTGTTGGGAGGAGCAACACCGAAATATTTCCATTTCGGATACGGTCTTTGCGATCGGAATGACCGAGGTTTACCTCATAGTGAACCGAGGTCTCCATAGAGGTTGTATGTCGCAACCCAACGGTGCAACGTGTTCCCCAAATTCAGTTTTGAATTGCTTTTCGCTGTGCCAAGCGTTTCTCGTGGATCTCAGTAGCGTACTCTGGACGTCAGCCGTGTACCACTAGGCTCTGAGTTCCACCCCAGCTCAGGCTATCGCCACCTGATGAGTCCAAACCAGGAGGAAACCACGGTTTTGGTGTGCCTGTGTTGGAAGGGCAACACCCTAATATTTCTTTTCCGGCTCTGTAGTTTTTTCCGACGAATACACAGCATCACTATTTCGAGCATGGTAGGCATCTTCCATTGACTATTCCCCGAGGAATTCAACTCATTTCACTGTTGCGTCCGGGCACCAATGTTTAAAACATACGGTTGCCATGACTCGCGGGGCTTTACTAATAATGCGTACTAAATTTAAGAGAAATTGGGGAGCAAACGGCGGCAGTAAATCATGGACTAAGAAGGACCAATCTGTTGAGACGTTATGAATCAGGAACCTTTTCAGTTGTTACTACTTGCCAGCTTTCTTTTTTTTGCGTGTATTTCTAGTCGGATAGCCACAGAGAGCGATGATCGTTTACCCCACGACACTCAGCTGTTTTCGTGGATTATGCGTGTCACCTCGTACTTCCACTCGCTCGAAACCTAACAGTGTGACAATTCATGTGTACGATAAGCATTTTTAAAATGTTACCTGGCCCCTTTTGGATTCATCTATTCCCCATGACGTTTAGAAACCACGATACACACAACGTAGCCAGGGCTTATTCGACCTCGTTGCTGGTGTTCATTGCGGATCATTTTTGCCGTCTGGTCCTCATTCTAACAGTTTATCGCACTGGTATACACCACTGAGTGCCATTTGGAGACACGTGTAGTTACGAACACCTCCCACTTGTTTGTCTATATTGCATCGATCGCTCTTTAGATGGATTCTTTTGAAGATACGCCACACCGTTTATTCTTTTATCCATTGTGCCATGTATCAGTACCTCTTTGTCGGCCTTCCTCTCTTTCGATACAGTTTTCTGTCTGCTATTGTTCTGTGTTTTATCTCTATTTCGCTATACTATGACATCCAGAACGATCCTTTCAAATTCCCACCTGAAACGACTACTTGCGCCTTCCTCTGAATAGAATAATTCCACTCTATCGTGTATGCCGTTTTTATACTGCGTTTCACAGATTCACATTCCAAGGGCGATGCACTCCTTCCAAACGGTGCGGGTCCCAGTTGTCCGGAGAGGGTAGCGCGTAGCAAGCCGGACAAGGTATGATTTACCGCGGTTTTGTTCTACTCCCAGAAGTTAACATTAATCTGGTTGTACTTTGGCTGCCATGCTCCTCAGTTCACTTGTTTTTCTGAGTTCATGAACACTGACAACTCACCCATCTGCTAATGTGCAGCAACAATTTTTCCTGCTGATCTCCCCACCATCTCATAATCTAAAAAGATGCCGGTCTTTCGCTGTTTGTCACGTTTTGCTTCCTGTTTCATTTTGTTGCGTCCAAACTGTGACTTGATGCAGTTTATTCAAATCCTGTCCTCCAACTCTGCACATACACACACACCAATTTCTATTACAGACCACTTTAATGAAAGCCTTGAAGAATGTCTCAGAGAAGTTGGTCGACCGAATCTTGAATGAGGTGTTTGAAGATTGTTCTTCCGTTACACTGGACAGCGTAGGTGAGGATGTCATTGTTTGGCGTTCCGTTACTCTGCTTTGCGTCTGTATCACCTTTCGTTGCTCGATGTTCACTACGCTTTGCAATTTTTTCTAGAACACTTGTGCCCTGGCTTACTTTTTAATCTCGCATTGGATGTACATGCTTTTCTACCACATTGTTTTGGATTTGGCTCACCTCGTTACTGGCTTGTGCTCCTGTATTTCTCACTCCCATAGCCGGAAACAATCGGGCCAAACAGATTTTGAACGAGACCGTAATTCTTCCAGCTCTGCGCCCTGAATTGTTCACCGGTCTTCGGACCCCTGTTCGTGGAATACTGCTGTTTGGACCGCCTGGAAACGGCAAAACTATGCTCGTGCGTGCTGAGATCGGCATTTCGTATGCAATTTTCCCATCATTTCTAACCACTGCACGTCGTTTTGGGCTTTATCGCTTTTTTACCCGATTGCTTCTACACTCAACAGCTGATGCTGATTAGCATGTGCGATTATGTGCAACTCTTTTTTAGAATGGGATAACAGACTCATCGCTGGGATAAAAGCCAGCAATCTTGGTTGATCGTACTCTGTGCGGTCCTTAGGAAAATATCTCAAACAAATTTCTCCCACTTACCTGATTCACATGATCTTAGTAAACACTGCACCATGGCTTTCATTAGTTTTGTCAGATTATCGATGGTTACATCGAGACTCGATGTTAGGTATTTCGATAACAAACTAACTAACTCTGCGGTTGTTTGGCTTCAAATGACGCAATACATCCTAATCAGTGCCTTGTGTCGAAACTTCGGGCAAACCGTTTGAAAAATACTGGTCGTGCTTCTGGTTTGTCCGCAGGGACACTACGTGCTGGCTCTCTGACATCCATGTGGGGACGCGCCGTATGAGACTATGTGCTTCAGCCGAAGCAGCATACATCCTTGCAAGCTAATTGATACCGTTATAGATGCGGTAAAGGGTTTCGTCTCCTAACTTGCGAGCTGACACCGTAGAACTTTATCTCCATTACGGATTTAGTCTGGTCGATATCCACGCAACAAGCGCAGTTTATTTTTGCTACATCTATGACATCATTTATATCATTTTGACTTCAGGCGAAGGCTATCGCTTCCGAATCGAATTGCTTATTTTTCAATATATCCGCTGCCAGTTTGTTCTCTAAATGGCTGGGCGAATCCGAGAACCTCGTCCGTGCTCTCTTTTCCATCGCACGTCAAGTTCAGCCATCAATCATTTTTTTGGATGAAGTTGATTCTCTCCTGATAGCTCGGAAGGACAACAGCGGTCACGAGGCATCTCGTCGTGTTCTCACACAGCTGCTCGCTGAAATGGACGGTGTAAGTTTTTTTTTCATGCAGGCATGAACGAAAGTTGATCTGTTTTCGCTGACGTGTAGATCTGTGTGCCTCACTATACGTTTCTCCGTTTTATCTTTTTTATCCGTTTACTGATTGAAGTGTTGATCAGTAAAATCAATGCATCAGTTCGTACAAATCTTCCAGTGAGCCCTACTCCGCACCATGCTCACAAGTGCTTCCTAGCCCGGAAGGCGTACGACATCGAAAGTGGTAGTCAGCGCAACGGTATTAGGTTGTCGAGAAGGAGGCTTGTATTATCTAAGACGCGACGTCTAACATCGACGTTACAAACGTAGTGTTCCCGCACCATGAGCTGTTCTCCGCAGACAACCGTTGTCAGTAAACGTAATCCGCCGCAATTCGTTTACACGAACCGGCCAGGACTCACTTCCGTACAACAGTACCGCATGAACATAGACGCTGTAGATCCTGCCCAGTACCGGGACTGAAACGTCACAACGACGCCATGGATGCCTCAGATTAGCGAAAGCTGATCGGGATTTAGCAATACGAAGAGAAATGTACTTTCCAATGGTTCCGTTAGCAGAAATGAAGAAACGGTATCCACTTGTTCAATCTACATGCCTTCAAGAGTGAGCATTGGGTCAGGTGGGTGCTAATCCTGGAGCAAAGGTCATGCTATAGTTGACATGTCCAAGCTGTTTAGAAGGACCTGTGTAATCTGTGGCTTGTCACCGAGCAAGCCAATATCATCGGCATGGTATAGGTCCGTGGCGCGGTTGCCTGGTAGTAGCTTTACGCCAAAACCCTGGGAACCTTTCAGGGCGCCTAATAGGACATCCTTGGCCACAGTGACACGGGGCATCCCTTTCGTACACAACTAGTAATGGCGAAACAGCTTATGGACTATTGCGGACAAAGTGATGCGCTATCTCACCTTGTCAGCAACTATCATGCACCTGTATATGACGCAGTTATTGGTTCTGGACACGTTGAGGAAGTATGTACCGTTTAATATCAATTGACACTCAGTCCGATTGCAACTTGACACAACCTTTGACATCACCCTCATATCGAGGACGCTCGGGCGTTCTCTTGGGAGCCATACGGTCCAACCATCCAGCCCAATAGTCACTAGCACTTGTGGTGGTTCTGTGCACTTGACTGGATGGTTACACTGCTCATTCCTTCCGGGGAAGCACCATCGGGACAGTCTGTTCTATTTCTGATTCAGTTCTCAACTTTCTCGGACTTGCCTGGCTTGAGCCACTTGATCTCACGGATCTGCCACTTCGTTCAATCTGCTATCTAATGCAGTTACACGCCCTACTCCCGGCATTGACCCAGCAGATCATCCATCAGTTCTCCTATGTTTTCAAGGAGGGATTCGGTCCATGCACCCACATTAAAGCCACGCTTCAACTACGAGCCAGCAGCTATCATGTCTTCTGCTGGATAAGACCCAGTCTTAAAAGGGAGGTGTTGGGCGGTCAGCTTCCCACAGTTGTTTTCGAGACTTTTGTCAGAAGCGAAACTCAGTGTTTTCCATTTTATTAGTGCCATTTTCTCTTACCTTATCATAGCCGGTCCGCGCGCATTACTATACCACGTTAACTGGTAAGTGGGTCGATAAAGTTTGCCCCCATTGTCGTTGTCGTTTCCATTTACCGTTGCTTCTCTACGGTACGATTCATCCTTCCCTCTTTAATGCTTCCGTCGCTGCCTTCTTAAGATCGGCCGTCTACGAGGTATGTATTCTATGTTGTAACTCTAAGGGTTTATTACTACCCGCCGTACTATTCGGACACGGAGGAGCTTGGAACGCTTCCTTTTGGTCTGTTCATTGTCGGCCACTCGGTCTATCGATCGTCTTTTGGAACCGCTATACTTAGAAAATTGCAAATTACTTCTTCCTCCGGTTGATCAGTTGCCCGACGTTGTTTTGTTCGTTGTAGTACTCTTTTTGCTCGAATGTCTGGTCTTTTGCTGTGGGTGTTTGGGGCTGCAGGGAAGCGAGTGATCCGAGCGACTATCCTAGGTGATTTCGATATGTAACACTCGACGGCTTCATGGCAGTAGCTGGCCGTTGCACCCCCTGTAATGGTGCGACTTTTCGCATTCATCACTATCAAGAAGATGAATCTGTCTCTAGGTAAACACTTAAAAGCCTACCGAAGCCATCGATGAATGAATCTTCCTTATTCATCGGCCGGTGGTCTAAAGGTCACGAGTTCTAGCTAGAGTATATATATATATATATATATATATATATATATATATATATATATATATATATATATATATATATATATATATATATATATATATATATATCACACTGACTGGAGCTAGCGAAACAATTCCGTTCGAACCACCGCCTTATTTACAGACACGTGAATGCACTTCGAAATTTGCATCGTGGTATCGCACCACTCAGTACGATTTGTGGGTATACACACAACAATAAGGCGGACAATTCCTCATTGCCCAGTACTAGCCTACTTTCCAAGGGGTAGTAGCCTCAAACCTTATACTTGCTTCTGTCCCGACACCATCAGTGTTATCCAGCATCAACTTCATAGCAAAAGTGGTTATGCAAAAGCTACCATCCTTGGATAACCTTCACTCTAAAACACTGCGGGCAGCAGCAATTCACCTAGCCCAGCCACTTGCCGGATTCCTTCAGCGAAGTCCGTCTGATCCTACCAATTACCGTCCGGTAACACTTCTCTCCGCCATTTCCAAAGTCATGGAAGCGACCATCGCTGACGTAATGATGGGCTACTTGGAAAACGTAGACAATGCATTATTAGAATGGGTTGGTAATTTTCTTCGTGTGCAGCAGTTCTAGGTTAGAGACCGAACATCTCTGCCCGACTCTAATCGAGTGGAGTGCGACTATCTTGCTAGAGCCATCACCTCAGAAATTGTACTTTTCAGGATGACGTTAAAAGTTGGCCGGGGATCAAGAGAATGGACGACCACAAGATCCTCCATGTGCGACGTAGCTGGGACCTGACATTGACGGGTGAGGAATTCACTGCCATTAAATGTGGTCAAGTGACACATTATCCACATCCGCCATAGACACGCTTATCTAGAATATTGGGGCATATGACCTGCAGACAAGCCCTCAGGAACTTGACCTCGATGTACGGGTGCAGGACGACTTCGGTTATTCCAGGCAGTCGGAATCCAAAAGTGGTAACCAGCACGTTGTTAGCTTGCGGATGACATTAGAAAGTTTGGATTCATTCATCTTCTCTATGATGCGCCATGCCTACGCGCGTTAGCACGTCGAATACGTAATCCAGGCTTGGCACGCTTGGCTACACCGTGACCTTGCAGCGCTTGAAACAAACCATGGTCGAGCAGCGACTAAAAACACTCGGAGTGTTCAGTAGACGCTACAGGTGGCAATGTGGAGACCTCATATTAGTCTACCAGATACGGAACGACCCCACGTACACATGTTGCCACCTACTGCAACTCCTACCGAACACCAACTTCACAGGCAATAGCCTGAAACTGAGTCAACAACACAGTTGGCTTTGCATTAAGGCTGGACGAACCTCAGCTCATAGCGACTCAGTGATTCCCCCATAAGTAGCCATCGAACGTTTCGGGGCCTACGCTGTTTATGTGCTCAACGACAGTCTGGAGGTTAAGAATTCTATCCGACCGGACGCATCATTAGCACCATATGTCAGCGGACCAGTTTTGTCGTTAACACATTTGTGAAAGAGGATAAGTATATTAACAGCAATGTATTGGAACGATCATCTATGCTAGTGAAGGATATGTTCGAAATGTCCGCCGGCATTCTGCTTGTAGTGCAGAAACCGCTTGATGCAATTGGCGAGCGCCTTCTCCAATCTATCCCTCGTGCTCGCGCGACATTCGTTCACAATATTTTCTTTCAACTGGTCCAATGTACGCGGCCTTGTTTTGTACACTCGCCGCTTCAGATAGCCCCATAGAAAAAAGTTCGTGGGATTCAAATCTGGTGAGCGAGCGGGCCACTCCGTTGGTCCACTGCGTCCGATCCAATGGTGGCCAAGTTTGTCGGTGAGGTAAGCGCGCACCGTTTTAGCAGAATGTACAGGTGCACCATCCTGCTGCCACCAAATGGTACTGCATGCCCCTTCGGCCTCCAACTGGGGAAGCACAAATGTCTGAATCATTTCCAAATACGACGTTGCTAGGAAAAGTTAAGGCCTTAGTACTTCAAAACAACAACTTACCGGTCACATTCCTGGAAAAGAAATATGGGCTCAATATTTCCCACAGGTTACTTTAAAATGCTACAAACGCAACAAACTTACCGAAGATTAGCGCAATTGGTGTAAGCAACGTGGCCAGTTAATAGAATATTAATCAGGTAGGCAGAACAAACCTAATAAAGTGGAATGAAATTTAGCCAGCTTATAAAGTCCTAGTCTGAGTAAAAGTTGGTTTAGCACAACTGCGTTGAAGAAGCATGAAGAATGCTATATATATATATATATATATATATCGGCGTGCAGGGCGCGATCTGATCACGAAGATCCTTGCCGAGGTGCAAGAGAAAGCCTTCGTGCATGCAGAGAAGAATCGGCAAGTGCGGAAGCGGCAGTCGCCGATGAAGTGTACTCCATTGACGTCGACCGGATGGTGCTGTAGCACGTGCAGTCGCGAGTGCCTGAGTCCGGTAGGCCTTGTGAGCCACGAGAGAGGCCACTTGGGACCAGCACCGGAACGACGATGTGTCCTGCTGTGAACGTATGCGGAACCGGCGCAGCGTTGGTGGGTACGCTGCATTCGGTTTACTACTTGCTTGCTTGCGTACTAAGTGTATTTCAGGTGATGGGTTTGCTGTCGTGTCTCAATGCATATCTTAACGCTTACCTGAACTTGCATACGTTGCCTAAGCTAATTGTGATTAAGTTCGCTAACATTTTCGCGTTTGTAGCATTTTGAAACAAATATATTTTCTGACATCTTGAACTTATCGCGGTAACCAAATGCTCATTTAGCGTAGATTTATGTCAGCATTTCTGTATGCT